ACGACAACAAAAATAGATACTCAAAAAACTAAGCACAAACTAAATATTGAGATATTTATTTGAGACCTTGCCAAATCTATAAAAAGCAAACCAGTAAAAAAATATAAAGCCCAATTAAAAACTAATCAAATGTTGAAAGATGAAATGAGAAAAAAAAAATCAATATAAATATTTGATTGAAAGTGAAATATCTAAAAGAAATGGTAAAAAAAAAAAAAGGATCAGGCCATTCACATGAGCCTAAAGGCAAGCCCAGGCCCACACACCTGGTCTATCTTCTTCTTTTTTTAATGAGCATACAACTTTCCATTCATCCTAACACAATTACATGATTGATATCTTATTCCAAGTGTAAGAGTGTCAAAGTAATAAATAATCTAACAACACTTGAGTCCATCTATATGGAGATTAATTATACAAAACCATAAATATAAATTAACTAAACATAATGAAGAAGACAAACATAAACAAATAAGATAAGAATATAACTATGATATAAATTAATTGAGTATATTAAATAAAAATGATAAGCATAAACAAAAGATTAATGAGAACATAGCATGAAATAAAACTTTAACATTACAAAAATATAAAAAAGAAAGTAAGAGCATAATATTGATCTGAAAACCAAGATACCTAAATATATGACAAATACTCTTTTTTTTATATGCTAACATTTAGAACTATTAATTTGGTGACTATACAAAATATCATTGATAATATCATAATTTAAACAAATAACCTTTATGAAAGTTATGGGTATTTTTCTATTCTTTCAAAAAAAGAAAAAAAAATGGGATCATTTCAACTTTTAAAACTCGAGATATGGACTAAGTGGGACAAATTTAGACTTTTTTTTGCTGCTAAGATTTGAATTTCAAAATGATAGTATTGAATCTTAGACTCTCATTAATATTTTAGACTTACATCTTAATTTTCCATCAAACTAAATCACACCTAAATCAAATTCTACAGCTCTAATTATGATCCAAAAATCGAATGGTGTTCTAGTTAGAATTAAACCAACCCAAATACAATTTCTTCTCTATGCTTACCTCTCTATTTGTCTCCTCAATGTTAATAGTTAAAACACATAAATCAATCATCTTAATTGTGAGATATGTCTATTATGCAGACCTGCATTTAAAACAAGCATTTACTATAAATTAAATATATTTTATATTATCAAATTGTTATTATAAAATATGTTTAAGTTAGAGAATTTAATGATATTTTAAATGTAATATGATAGTATAAAACCTTAATAAAAATACACTTTTAATTACTTATTGTACCCTTTATTATTATTTTTAAAAAAAGAGAAAGCAATGTGTCACCTACTTCTGTATAAAATTCAGCCATCACAATGATGGCTGGAAAATTAAGGTGAAAGATTATTTATCTAAAAATTTATTTTAACATATTTTTTCCCTAAAAAATCTAATAAACAACCCTAGAACCTCCCAAAAACTAATTTATCAAAAAAGAAACAAAAGGGTTCAAAAACAACAAACCAAACTGGGAAAGGTTTTTCTCTTTCAATTTTGATCTACCTTTTCATGCATGATAAAGATTCAAAAACAATTCAATAAAAACCCATCATCAAATAGAACATGTTACACCAATATTGACCTATTTATCATTGGAATGCGACCAACCAATGATTTTCTCTCTTTTTCACCATAATTTGAAAAACTTCTCTCTCGTATTTCAAATTCAATGACTAAAAAATAAAAGCAATGAACTTTTGAACCAAATAAAAATTAGCTTGAATTTGAAATTAGTTATGCATTTTCTCTGTGTCTTATATTTAAGTGCTTTATCTTTTAATTTGATATTTTTTACCATAATTTCAAAACTAATCTAATCTAACTGGGCCATCAATGAATTAAATAAAAAATATAAAAAAGATAGAAATTAAAATAAAAGGGTGAATTGTAAAAAAAGAAAAAGAAAAGGAAAGGTCTATAAAGCATACTAGATCTTTTAAAAGACAAGGTAACACCAAAACTATGCTTAATTTTTATTTTTATTTGACATGTTCAAAAAATTTCACAAGATGTAATGGTCTTAACTAGATAGGTGGTCTATATTATACCGCAAACCGAGTAAAAAAAGGATATTTAGGTGATAGCAAAATTTCAAAGAAGGAAAAAACAGATGTGACTCAAGAAATTTACTTGACTAGATTTAATAAGCTCAGTTAATTTAATAATATGATTTAAAAAAATTAAAATAAAGTGAAAAAATAAAAACAATTAGCTATAAAAAATAAGTTATCAATATCATACTCGAGAGTAAAAAAAAGAAAAATTCATTTGAGACTCATTATCATTTCATCGTGGATACCATCCCACCACCAGAAAGCACTTACAAAAAAAGTTCAAACACCACTTTACAAGGTTGTACGTCACTATCAAGAGAGGCCACACATGTTGTCAAAGCAATTGCCTAATAAGCAAATCAAATAAAATATCATAAAGTGATAATCTCATATTTATATATAATCAATTAATTTAATTTAATTATTACAAGATTTCTTTTTTTTAAAAAGCTAAATTTAACAATGAACGACAAATAAATAGAACCAAGATAACTCGAGTTATTTTTAAAATTAGTAAATATATCCTATAGAAAAAAAATAGAAAAAAATAATGAAACTTAATCTCTAATTAAATAATTGTTAAAGGACAAAATTAAAAAAAATATGAGCTTTAAAAAAAAACAAAAAAGGGAGGCAAATCTCCTAAACCTGGGTTAATTTTCCAAACTCACAACATGTAAATTCTTGGATCTGGGTTCAATAAATAAAATTTAATTCCTAACCAATTTAATATTAAAAGATGAATTTGAAAAAAAAAATCAATTAATTTTTTTTTTATCAAAGTATAAAAGTCAAAAGAATAAAGATCAACTCTAATAAGAAAAAAAATGAATACAAATAAAATTGTAAAGAATATTCAATTTTTAAAAATTATATCAAATTAAAAAAAATAATTAAAAGAATAGAGATTAAATCTAACTCATACGATTTAAATAATGTCAAATTTAGATTTTGACGTAAAATTTTATAATGTCCAATTTTATACTATTAAACATATCTCTAAATTAAATCATTGAATCAAGATAAAACTTTATCAGAAAACTCCTATGAAATTTTTCTATATTGGGATAAACTTTTAGGTCAATTAGAGTTCGAGAAGGTCTTGTGATTTATGTCAAAACATGTGGTATGAATTTTATTATTTATTATTTATTGATTTATAAACTTTCTATTTGATAAGAATTTTTTTTCTACAAAGATATGAGAACTTGTTTTAAAAATGTTTTAATTCTATAAATTATTTTAAATAAAATAAAATATAATAAAAAAAATAAAGACTGAATTTGAAGGAACAAATAAATTAAAGAACTACTTTGAAAATTTAAAAAGTTAGAGAAAATATCAAAGATGTAAGGGAAGAAAAGAAAAGTTTGTGGCACCAAATCAATTGTCAGTAAGCCACTCGCATCATCCAAGGATGAAGTGGCTGTTGAGACAATTCTAATGTCATCATTGAATGTGGTATTTGAATGCCTGGGGATGCTGTATGTATCACTAAAGGAATGCAAACGTCTTCTACCTATTGGTTAGTGCTTTACACGGTACAACCATTTTGTTTTTACTTTATATTTTTTATTTATTATATTATTAAATTTTTCCCTAATCAACATGATTATAATTAAAAAACCATAGTGAAAATACAAAATATTCCCTAGACATTAATTAAAGAATTTTTGCTTATAAGAGTTATTTTATTATGTTTTTAAAAGTAAAAAAATGTAAAAAAGTCTCTAGACACCGATTAAATAATTTTTTTAAAAGGCAATCTAGTCATTTTACTTTAAAAATATAAAAATTTATAGTTGTCAATTTAGTAATGATTAATGAATCCTATAAAAATATAGTATTATTTTAAATTCTGTTTAGAAATGATAAATTAATCACTAAATTGTTTCAATTCGTAGTATAATTAATGAGCACAGGGCATTAGTTTTTTTTTTAATTTTAATTAGCAGGACAACAATTTAAAGTTATTAGGCATTCTGCTCAAACTGGAATATGGTCCAAAGCGTGTGTGAAGGGACATGAAAAGTTTTCAACGGTTTGGATGCTCCAATTTTACGGAAGGAATCCAAATTAATGAAACAACTGATTTTCCTTCGGAACATTATAACCACCGTGATAAACATCTGCCATGGGGTGGCACGTGCTGGCGCCACCAAAGATCATGAGCAGCAAATTGATATTCCTATAGAAAGGTATATATTCACTTCAAAATGGATACCATAAGCAGCAGGCAGATGCTTTGATTTTCAGTGAAGGTATAAAAAAATCCACACTTTTCCGGACGGAGCACTGCTGCCTCTAATTTGTTCTGATGTGCCTCTTTTAATCCCATGTAAATTTGGGTGATAAATTTATTTATTTATTATTTTTTTAAATATAGATATTTAAGTAAGTTTGGATGGATCTTAATTAATTTTTTAAAGTTTTAAAATTAATAACAATATAAATATTTAATAATTCTGATAATCCTAATATTTATAATACTCAAATTGATAATTTTTGAAAAGCAAACTCAAAACCTGAATAATTAATATATTTTGTTTATAAAAAATTAGGTTTTTATGTTTTAAATTATTTTAATATATTGATCTTAAAAATAAATTTTTAAAAATAAAAAAATATTTTGATATATATAAATACAAAAAATAAAAAAAATAATTACAACCAAGATAGAAATTAAGCTTTACCCATATGAGTTATGAATTTCTTTAAAGAAAGTGCAAGCAGCATGCACAATCAGAGACCATTTTGAGAGAAATTAATTAGATCGTGTTGCAAAAAATATGGTGCATTTGCTATAATATTATATGGCCTTTCAAGTGTCAACACATAGCAAGTGGCAAGCCTGTAAAAACAAAGTGTTGCCAGCCTCACAAACCTCCTCATAGTTCATCCACCGAAGTTTCAACCAAGATATCTAGATCACTGTGCATAATTACATACACAAACTGAACGTCTGAAAAATTAAACGACAGAGAATCAAAGACGACCTTTCTTCCCCTGTTCTTCGGTGTCGAATCACTTTCAAAGCAGGATCAACCGGCCTCGTGATCTCCTGCAACAGGCACGTCAAATCCTGCCGATGCATTTCCCGGATGTCTAATCCCAACCTCAAATTCTGCGGCATCAGCACTTTCTGGTGGTTGCTCTAGTAGTGACTGCCGGCAAGTTGGACAGGAGGAGTGCGATACCAACCATGTGTCAATGCACCTAACATGAAAACCATGGCTACACTTTGGCAAAACTCGTACTTTCTCACCATCTGTGAACTCAACAAGGCAAATTGCACAATCCGTTGCAATAATATGCATCCCTGACACCCCGTATATAATCACTGGGATTTGTCGCAATGCGCTCCTTGTGAGACCTGTTGCTGCCAGACGCGCTGCAGTCTGATCAGGAGTCTCAAAAGCAAACCTCCGGCTACATCGTAAGGCGCATCGTACTATTGAATTTAGTCCAAGTGCACAAATCAATGCACAAAGCAAAGCTGCCAAGATGATCACCATGTTGGAATCGAAATTGGCCTCTCTGCTGTAATTGTTGCGCGTCCTGCTTTCATTCGCTGCCGGTTGTGTGCTTGATCCTGTATCAAGGAGTAGCCGGTGTGGAAGATGATGTAGAGTAACCATAGCTATTATGGCTCAATCCACCAACACTTCCGAATGACGCCAATTAACCCTTAGCCTTGCTACAATTTCCTTAGACCTCCTATGAATTTATGCAAATAAGCTGGAGATTTCATGACTCCAATGCTTCCCAGCTTCAAATCGAACCACAAAGGAGACTGAAAGTAAGAAGTTCATTTCACTCGTATATAGAACAAGGTCTTGAATTCTGTTTGGTCCTGGATATCTGAGCTGACTGTAATGGAGGGAATTAAAGGCTAAATCATGGCTTTTGATGCTTCAAGAGGAGGAGGTGAAGGCAAGCCAATAAATTATGAGGGTTTTTTGTCTTCTTCCTGTTCCTGTTGATCTGCTTTCAACCAAAAAGAAAGAGATAAGCCTTTTTGAGTTATGGCAGTGCCTGTCAGGATTCCACCGAGATAAAAAGACGTTAACAAAGCATCTTCTTAGTAAAAATTCAAGCAAGGAAATTAAGTGCTTTCTTTAATGCACACTTTGTGGCATCTAAAGTCACGAAAATCCAAGGACGACGGATGGAGAGAAATAGGTTCTGTCCTTACGCTTTTTTTATTTTTTTAAACTTCAAAATTTATGCATAACCATATTATTTTGTATTCATTTTCATGAAATAAAACATATAAAACATTGTAGTAAGATTCAAACTTATAATTATTTGATTAATAAAATTCTAATATTATGTCAAATAGTTATTTTGGTGATACTGAGAGATAAGGGTTAATTTAATCAATTTTTTTTATTATTTTTAAAATATAATTTATATATTTAATATATAAGAATTGTTTTGTTTTTATTAAAAAATTGATGATTTGTTATGGTGGTATGTAAAGATAAGTGCTGAATTAATATTTTGTGAGGAATATACTATAGGGCAGCTATTTAAGGGCTTGTAGTTGTAGTCTTCAGATGTGGCTAAGGGAGCTGGACTCCAGATGGGAGAGAAGATACCAAATGAAAGAACGATATTAGTGCTTGTAGTTCCTTTTTCACTTCGTTATTGTCGAGAGAATGACAATAAAGATGGCTAAACTATAGAATCTTTTTCTTTTTAAAAAAGAAAAATTATGATCCCACATAATCACAATAGTTGCTTAAGGTTAATTAATGCTTATTCTTGAGCACCAATTCTCTCTTCCACTCCCCTTATCTTCCTTTAATTAAAAGTTTAAAGTAAATTTCCATGGCTCCTTTGGATCCCTTTATTTTCAAATGAAGCCAATATTGCCACACCTTGGAGCAAATTTGAAAAACATAATAATAAGAAAAAAATAGTAGTTGATTTTTATTGTACCCACCACAACAAATGCTAATTTAAAAGACAATTTGAAACTGTGTGTTTCTTTAAATTTTAAATTTTGTTTATCTAAAATTAATTTTTTAATATTTTTAAATTATTTTAATGTAATGATATTAAAAATATTTTTAGTAATAAAAAATATTATTTTAATATATTTATCTATAAAAAAATATTTTAAAAAACAACTATTATCACAACATCCTCTAACGTAATACTCTCCATTAATTGAGATTGAGAATAATTCAAATAGGACTTGGGATTTTGCCATTTGAGCAAACTATGGTTTGCATTGTTGAAGCAAAGACATAGAACGCATATTTGACTAACTTAGACCATGCACGAGGGACTATGTTTAACTAGAGTTTTAATAAAATGTGATTTTTTTTTATTTAAAATGATTTTTTTTATTTTTAAATTATTTTAATTTATTAATATTAAAAATAATTTTTTAAAATAAAAAATATTATTTTAATATATTTTTAAAACATACATTTTAAAAACATATGCTCATGTTTTGAAACATCAGTGCCCAGTGCCCACTGAACATTGTGCCGCGACCACGAAGAGATAGCAAATGAGACCTTAGAAGATGTCATGATCAAATGTCCCTGCATTGATAACCCCACAGTGCTAAAACCATTACAGGGTTAATTTCAATTTACCTACCATGTATTTCAAATGAATCTAGTTTCTTTATATGGGCATGTATTTCAAATGAATCTAGTTTCTTTAGTTTCTTTATATGGGTTTTTTTTTTAATTATTAATATAGATATTTAACCTAATTTGCTTATACTTTAATAAATTTTATAAATTCTAAAATTAACGACCATACAAGTATCTAATGGTCATGAAATTTATAAAATTTAAATTAATAATCTTTAAAAAATAAATCTAAAACCTAACCATTTTAAGTGCAATTCTAAGAATTTTCTCTATATAGGTTTTAATTGTACAAATGAAGGTTGCTAAAATTATTGAGTTGACTCATACAATTACAACATATATTTATAATGTAAAATCTCTTTAAAAACTAATAAAACTATATTGAAAACGTTCTAATTTGATAAAATCAATATATTCATGATTTTAATATCAATTATATGTTTTCATAAAAAACATTGATTTTCTCTGACTATTAGGGGAAAAAAGAAAGAGCCAAGCTTTTAAAATTTAATCCTTTTAAAATAATCTTATAATTAAGTAGAATCTCTTATACTAATTAAGAGATTTAAATTAAATAATCCTGATATATTATTTAAAACAAAAGATAAAATTAAAATGTATTTTTTTTAAAGATGATTTACATTGAAAACAAATAAGCACCATAAAATACTTTGAAATTAAAAAAAATAAAAAGATCATTAAAAATTAGAATTAAAAAGCTTAGTAACTAAAGAAAACATGACTATTAGACTTTTGTAATATTAAAAATGTATAATCATCAACAAACAAAACAACAACATTTGATAAAACCAATTAATTTTGATATTTGGATTTGATGAAGTGTTTTACTCATTGATTAGTACTTAAAAGTGCATTTTTATCAAGATTTTATATCATCATTTTGCACTTGAAGTATCAATAACTCCTTAACTAAAGCATGTTTTATAATAACACATATAATAATATAAGATACCTTTAATTTGTGGTAAATGTTCATTTTAAATGCAGACCTATCACATAAATAAAAAGATTGATTAATGAGTTTAAAAATTGAAATTGAAAGGATAAAAAGATGGCAAAACTTAGAAAGAGATGTTGGTATAGCCCCAATTAGAACACTGTTTGGTAATTGGGTCATATTTGGAGCTTAGATCTCGAATTTAGGTCTATTTTATATGGATAGAAAGGTAAGACATAGGCCTACAACTTTCAGAAGAGCCCAAGATTTAAAAACTCTATTTTCAAGTCCAAATTGTAGCAACAATGAAGAAGTTCGAATCTGTTCTGCAGCCCTAACACTGTTTAGTGTTTGGCCTATATCTAGAGTTGTAGAAGTCCAAATGACCTCTAATTTTTTTCCTAGGAAGTTAAGACAATTTCCTATAATTTTCATGTTCAAGTAGTTCTAATTATGACGTTATCAATAATGTTTTGGGCAGACAAGAGAAGATAAAGATTGTCATCAAGTCAAGAGTTGTCCACTCACTTATCAATTAGTTATTAAATTAATAGTTTCCAATTTTAGCCTATAAAATGAGGCATTTGCCATGCATTTAGGCATCCTGTCTCCAGATCAAGATCATGCTCTTTCTTTCCATCTTTGTATTTTTGTAATGCTTAATGTTTGCTTTCATTAATATCTTGTTCATGCCTTTCATTTCCTTTCCTTTATTTAGTTAACTTTTATCTTATTTATGTTCTTATTTTGTTTACTTATCTTTCTTTCTTTCATTATGTTTAGTTAAGTTTATTATGTTAAGGTGAAAAGGTTATACTAATGGTGTAAAAATAAGTATAGTGTAAACTTAACATGGACTTTAATGTTTGATACTATCATGTTTTATATTTGTTATCTTGTTCACTCTTTAATACTTTGCTTGTTAAATGACTAATCTA